GGGGGGGGGGGTGAGACTGTGGTAGATACCGCGCAAGTCTGCCTCACCATAAACTGATTCACGTGCGGGCCACCGGTGCTGTGTCCACTCCAGGGGCCACGTGGTGGGCGTCGTCGCTTGCGACGGTCGGACTGTCGAGGGTACAACTAAAACTACTCCGGTAGTCGACTGCCCTCCTCGTCTATGACGAACTTCTCCACGAACTAAGCCAAAGCATATGTGACTGTCACAACGATATCCCTAGTTGGAATAACAGTTTTAATATCAGTTGGTATTCCTAGTAAACCTGCGCGAGGTCCTCCACTCCCCTTGGGAGTCGTCCCTAGTACGGAAGGCAAACTACATATGCCGACCCTGTTTTATTCGAAAAATCCGGTTGACACGTCGACCTCCCCCCCCCCCTCTCTGCCTGGTAATTTAACGCGTCCAACATCACCGACCCACTTTCCTTACAGTATGCCTCTTGCAACTCTCCATGATGCCCACTTTCTTACTCCTCATAGATTGCCCTGCCAGACGGTTCGGAGACAAGGATGGCTTTCCACACCTGCGTCAACGCTGCGGGTCCATGGGCAGCTGATATCATGTCACTGGCTTTGCGCGATTTTGATGAGCCCATGCTTCGCCTACCAGTGGAGAAGAGGTTGGTACCTGTGCTGTTGCGATTACTTGTTTCACCGGTTTACATAGAAGCCCTGGACATTTGGTTTGCCAGCTGTTGGGTTGGTCATTTCACTCACGCTGGGCGTAGCCGGCCTGCATTTACGTGTGCGAAACCTACTTCAAGTTTGTGAGTATGGGACAGCTGTCTTATGGAGCACATGGGACGGCCACTGCAGTTAAACCGTGGCCCAGTCGTCTTGGGTGTAGCTTCCCCGTTTGCACACGCGGATGGGAAGACAACGTGAACTCGGAGCCGCTTACGGCTCCTCAGTCGCGCTGAACGAGGACCACTGTCGTCTGGAAAGACAGCGGCGTCGCTCTCTTCACCGTCCCCACATCCGTCCTTTTCCGGTGGCACAACCAACTCAAAACAACTGAAGGTGTCTTTGGGTCGCCGTGATCGGCCATCGTTTATGTTATCGCAGCATTTTCACCGCCGTCCCCCCCCCCCAGATGGTGGTTGTCCTCTTGCTGTACCAGCGAGCGTCCTTATAGGTTGCCTCGGGGGAGTCAGTCATTTTGAGGAATTGGCGGTCGCCCCGAAATGCCAGCTGTCCAGCTTCCACCTACAGTATCCCACCTTCTGATGACCCCTCCTTTGCATTCTTCCTAGGAAACAGAATATTTTTGTCGTGAGTCCGGACTACACCGCAGCTCCGAGCACACACTTTCCGGGGATTGACGCGCCCATCCTGATTGACCACTCGGGCCTCTTTATGCAGCGTCAAGGCCTCTCAGGAGACTTTGCCGTTTGCATGAACCCCTGCCGGACGCAAAACCAGCACCCGGTGAGTCCCAAGCCCTTCTGTCCGTAGCCTAGTACGCGCGTGCGCCACTTCTTTGCAACAACTACTGTTGTTGTTGTTCTTCCTTTGTAGGATAAGGCGGACTTCGAAGTTGACTACAGCGAGTTCACAGACCAAATCCAGCCACGCCTGGCACGTCGCATCCCTGCCATGGCAACCGCCAAAATTAGGTCCGCCTGGGCATACCTCAACGACTACAATCCGGTGGATCAGAGTTTAATAATCGGGCCGCATCCCTTCATCAACAATATGCTGCTAGCAAACGGATCCAGTGGTCTCAGCGCGCAACACTCAATCGCGATCGGTCGTGCTATCGCGGAGTACGTCCACTACCGTCATTTCAAGTCAATCGATCTGACACGTTTTTCCTTTGACCGTTTCTTCCTCAATTTGCCCATCTCCGAACGAAACACATTTTAATCAGTGCTCATTTAGTCCTTGCCTTGTGTGTATGTGTAATATATCCCCCAAATAGTAGAAGAGACGCCCTACTACCTTCGGGCGATTGTTGCGCGTCTGTATAATTCTGAGTCGACTTGCATTGTTTCCCATCGCTGACGTTTTTGACTGGTTGGAAGCACTGAAGCCGGCTCCTGTTTCCTAATGGAAATGTTTAAGACACAGAATAACCGGGAAGAAACTTGATCTCGACCTCGAGTTTCAAAAAAAATCATCATACTGCTGTGGAAAATTAAATAAGCACCCATTACTATAACGAGATAGGACAGTTACTGACTGGGATTTCTCGACTACACAAATCTGTGGTGTGTTGGGGATCGTCCCACATTTCTTGCAGATGTAATCATTGGGCGACCCAGTTCTGAAGATCCAGATAGTGGTTTCTTCGTACTCGGATAGATCACACTACTTCCGTTCTTGAGAATGTTCTGCAAGCATCCTTTTGGCAACTCATCACAGACCGCCACCAAGAGGCCTAAAGAAGCAAATGGCATCCACCACCGACGCAGTCAGATTGCAGGAGAGGATCTAGCCATTTGGTTTTGCCCTGAAGTCCGAGTTCGGGTCGCACAGGCCAGCTGACGATAGCAAAATTCCCCCTACCCCCCCTCCCCCCCCCAACGCCTGGGACGGTGGAATTTCAGGTGTACTGGCATTGTGAAACCATTTCCGTGTCGTCAACATGTCAT